AGCCAGACCAAATAGAAGGCAAAAGGCTGACCATCTCTTAGGAGATTAGAGAAGCTCTGGTCGAGGTGAATGTGGGAGCTACTGACTGATGTGAACTTTGGGGATTATCACTGTGTTTCAAATACCCGTAAGCACTCCTCCACCAGCCTGGCAAACTGATGGTCCCTATACCTTAAGTTCAGACATAGCAATGACTGTGAGGGTGACACAGGACTGGGCAGTGTTTTGTTCTGTTGTACATAGGGTCACTATGAGTTGGAATTAAGTCAATGCCATCTAACAACAATGTATCCTCTCTCAAGAAGCCCTGGTGGTGCAATGGTTCAGTGCTTGGCTGCTAACCAGAAGGTCGGTGGTTCAAACCCACCAGCAGCTCTATGGGAGAAAGATATGGTACCCTGCTCCCGTAAATATTACAACCTTAGAAATCCTACGGGGCAGTTCTACTGTCCTGAAGTGTCGCTATGAGTCATAATCAACTGGATGGCAATGGGTTAACATTCTCTTGATCATTTTAAGCCCTGTGTAACACACGTTGTCATCGTTACATGCCCTCGAGTCAGACGTGACTCACTGTGACCCCCTCCTTGGGTTTCCAAGGCAGTATCACTACAGAAGTAGACTGCCCAACCTTTCTTCTAAGGAGTGGCTGGTGGGTTTGAACCACCAGCCCTCTGGTTAGCAGTCAAGTGCCCTAGGCACTATGGTACCAGATAGTCAGGGGTTAATGAGTACTCTTAAATGGATAACCTGTGGTCTGTGACTACATGGAGAATTCTGGACAATTTCTATGACAGCCATTGGCTGCTTACGATCGCCACATACATCTGTGCCGGTAATGTCCTCTTATCTCTTTGTCCTCTGGCTGTCTTAACAAGTGAAAATGTCCACTCTGAATATTTCAGCTCTCCAGCTGACATCAATATTGGCCATTTGAAGATTTATTTTCTCTTTAAACAAAAAAAATTATACATTTGAGACCACAGTTGGGAATGGACACAACTGCCTTCTAGAAGTGCCACTGTTACAGATGGGCAGCTTCAGGCTGGTTCTGGCCAACTTTGGAGGAAGGTAAGAGTTAATGGTGAACAAATACGACAAGGCGTGTGTTGGGCAAGTCGGCTCAGTACCAGGGACCTCAGGGGAAGCAACTGCCCTTCCCTTTGCTTCCGGGGGCCTCACTGTCTCTGAGGAGCCTCTATGCATCTTAACCTTTGGTGACTTTAGAATTTTCTGGCAGCTGCTGGAACCTGGGATCATCTTTTCAGAAATCTGTTTGGCGTCATTCCGTGACTTATCTTTCAGGCCTCATCACAATTATTCATGCTTTGGCAGTATCCTAGCTACAGTCACAGTACCCTTCTTGGGCTGATACTGAAGGTTCCTCTGTCCCAGCTGAAGGAAAAGGAAGGTATCCATCTCCTTAAGATCTTGGCTCTACGGTCATGCTCCCCTCGACAGCAGGGGTATAAAGGCATCTGTTCAGACAGCCACTCAATCCCCAGCCCCTGTGAACAGGCAAAGAGGTGGGGATAACACAAAACAGTAAACGGTCCCCACATGGTGGAGAACTTGGCTTTGGAATGCATTTCAAGGTACACTCTCTGTCCACGTGGACACATAATCATACTAACTCAGATGCTAAACCCATCCAGCTGTCTCTGGCCTAGGAGACTACATAAAGACTCAATCCTTTACCTCCATCATGGATGGCAAAATATTTGCTGTTTTCAGTCTGTCTCTCTCCTCTCTCAATATCCTGTTTCTTTTCTGTGGCCTGTGCTTCCTGCTTTATATATTTTAGGCTACTTTAGACATGACCTCACATCTGGGCCAATTGCTGGAGCTCTGCTAATGGCCCACACATTTATGCATAAGGGGAATAGGTTAGAGGCAGCAAAACCAAGAAGGTAGTAAGCTGGTAGGGCTAAGAGCTGGGGCTCTGGAGGTAGACAGACTTAGGTTTCAAGTTTAGAGTAGCTGGATTTTCCTCGGGTAACGTACTTAATATCTCTGCCTTAGTTAGCGCATCTGAATGGGAATTATAATAGTTCATATTTCATAGGGTTGTTGGTCAGATTAAAATTGGACAATGTATATAAACTACTTAGCACAGGGCATGTTACTGGTATTACTATTATTCTGAGGCTTCCAAATTATAAAATAGCATGAGCTCTGGTGGGAACTCTGGTGGCATAATGCCTAAGGCACTTGACTGCTAACCAAAGGCTAGCAGTTCAAACCCACCACCCTCCTTGGAAGGAAGGTTGGGCAATCTACTTTCATAGTGATACTGCCTCAGAAACCCAAGGAGGGGTTGTTATGGGTCAGATCCAACTCAACGGCAAAGAGTTTGTTTGTTTGTTTGTTTGTTTGAGCTCTGATGGTACAGTGCCTAAGACATTAAAGACATTTGAATGCTAACCAGAAGTTTGGCAGTTCAAACCCAGTAGCCACTCCACAGAAGGAAGACTGAGCAACCTATTTCTGTAAAGATTTACTGCCTGGGAAACCAAGTGGGGATTGCTATGAATCAGAATCAACTCAATGGCAGTGCATTTGGTTTTTCTCTCTCTGGTGTCTATATATTTCTGAGACCCTGCCTAGCTATTCTGCTTCACATCTACCCTCCACCTGCCCACCTCCATGCCTGACCAATCACTTTCTCCAGGAAGTACTCCTTGATTGAGCAGAATGTACACAAACACAATGCATTTTTTCTGTTTTATGTTTTGCACATGTTTCATGAAAGTATTTACATCTTCTGTTACTCTCACACTGAGCTTCTCCAAGACAAGAAACCTTGCCTTTCGGTAGCATCTCAGACGGCACATCCTAAACGCACAATTAAAGCTTCAATTGCTCAGGAAGCACCATCCCCAGCCCAACGCTGCTCTAGAGCCCAACTCCTAGCACAAAATCCCCCAGCAAATGGCTAGACATCAGAATAAAGTGTCTCCTTGGGTTTGCAAAACCTTCACATTCTGTTGCAAAATAGCTGTCTTGTACATCAAAGTTCTTCTTTTATGGTAGCATATCTGAAGCCCATCTGAGGAAAGCACACACAGGCTGGAGGCATTGACAGTTCCCTCTCCATGATATTTCCAAAATCCATTCCTTCCCTGTCTGCCAAGACATTCATCCACACTCTAGTTCTTTTCCACATTCCAGGGTTTTCTATAATCTTCCTTTTAAGAGCCTTCTTCATCACTCTCTATCCCACTCCTATCTACACAGAGTATCACCTCCCCTTCTCTGTGATCTGTTCTATTAAATCCCCCTTGGTGCACATACAACTTTTACACTCACACCACCATCTGTCTCTCTGTTCCCTGCAGTCCACTTAAGGCCTTCAGGTCTCCTTCCAGTTACTCAGTTATCTTGGGAGAGCCAAGATGTGGTCCCTCCTTGCCAGGTCTGGGGATGTGTACGTGGAACTTTCCAGACCTCCAGTGCATTATGTCTCACACATTGCTCCCCCACATCATTTCTGACTCTGTGGGTAACCAGTGCCTTGTGGACGTGGGTCATCTGTTTAAACTGAAACCCTGTCACATTTGTTATGGGCTTTTATTTATGAGCCCGTGGGCTGTAATCCCAAGACATATATATTAAATAACAGTAATATCTCTTGGATGAAAGATATCATTCACATTCATTGACAACTTCTTATGAAAATATGAACTAAATCTGACTACAAAATTTGGTATTAGGAAATCTTAAAATATGGGGAAGAGCATGGACGGCTCAACAGGTAGATAGATGCAAAGACAGAATTACAATTTGCCGTTTTACACTCTCTGGCTTCAAGAAACGAAGAATTCAAGCCTTAAAAGAATCTTGGGCTGGGTTGTACGTTCCTTCAGAATCAAATTCTAATGTCTGCCAGTGTCTCCTCAGCAGTTTCTAGCTTCTGAGAAGAAAGATCCCCGATAATGACAATGCCACACAAATGAAAAGAATTCTGGACAATGACAATGCTTTTTTTTCTTAAGAATTCTGTGAATTTCCTATTACATCAGTTTCATGATTCAGCATTTTTCATCTCATTTATTTACAGTAATATACGGTGAGATAACCCAAGGTTTCCGTAGGATATTGGAAAATAAGGTAGGTAGGGCAAGGAAGGGTGGCATCCTCTGCAAATGGACTAGTGTTTCGGAGAATTCAAAACAGAAGAAAGCCAGCCGCAAAGGAATTTAGAAAAATTTCTCCACCTTGTTCTGAGGGTCTAAATTATACTCGTCTTTAAAATAAGTAGGCTTTGAAAAACACATTACTACCATTTCGTGGGTGGCTAAAAGAGAATCCAAGAAGTGTGCCAATTGTAAACTGACATGCAACGTATTCTCTGAAATGACAATATAGAAGACGCAGCTAAAGTCACCACTCCGGCGGCAAGCGTGGTACAAAGAACTAGATTTCTTTCTGTCATTCGCAACTTGGTTGGAGTGACCAAGGAGTTGAAGAGCGCTGGAAATACGAAGTTCATCGCAGTGTGCGTTGGCAGTAAACGGTCTGGGCCCGTGAGGACCGCTGGAAAGTAGGAGATGGAGCCAGGCGGGAGGCGGGAAGGGGGAGAGAGCAGTGAAGTTGGGCTCGGGAAAGAAAGGAGCAGCGCGAAGATTGGAAGCTCGGAGGGGTGGGGAGAGGACTCCGAGCCGTGCTCGGCGGGGCGCGGAGGGAACGCAGGGTCCCGAGGCTCTTCTGTGGAGTGGGGGAGTGGTAAGGGGCTCAAGAGCAACCTGGCCCAGGCGGACGGAGTCTGGGAGGCAGAGGAAGGGACAAGAGCGAGAGCGCAGCGCAAGTCCAGTCCAAGCGCCAACCTCCGAGCCCCCGGTATCCATCCCAGGTGCCGGAGCGCCCGGGACGCAGCGACGAGGAAGCGAGAAAACTAGCAGCGGCGTCCCTGCTCGGCGTGGCGGGGGTCCCCGGCCGCCCCCACCCACGTCCCCAGGGCCCCGCGCAGAGGGGAGGACCCGGGCAGGGTCGGCGCTCACCAGGTAGCAGAGGAGGAGCAGCGCGCAGGCAGGGCGGCCGCCGAGGCCCTGGGAGCAGCCGCCGCTCAGGGGAACCATGGTTGAGGCCCGGGGGCCGACCGTGGGCGGCGGGGGTTGCTGCTGCTGCTGCTGCTGCCGCGGCCACCCGAGCCCCACGCCGCGCCGTTGCATGGCCAGGCCGCCCGGATCCGGGCCGGAACAGGTCACCTGGTGCAGGGACCGGCCCCCGCC